TTTATTTCTTGTCACCCCTTAACCAATTACAATCAGTATAAGAGACTCCAAGGCCTTGCCTTCAAACAAACAACCAATCACATGAAAGTTTTACACATCATAATCAATTAATTTCTCGTCAAGCTGTCTAGAGAAAACATTTCTATACATTGTCAACGCTAACTAATATCGATGGGGTAATAATCTCGCACTAACATTCCACAAAGATACCACCTTATTTAAACTCGCAAACAACATTGGTTTAGAATTACAGCTACTGTCTTGTATCTTAAAAACTGCAGAGTCATAAGATGTTTTTGGTTGATTTCGACCAGCTCGCCATCTGGTCTTGTCATTAACCTTTATCAGTATATGTCATGACAACCACTGTCAAACTGACTGAAATATAAATCAAAATCATGATAAAGGTAAGAGAGATGGTGAGCAGACCCCCTCCCCCATGCAAAATTTCGTGCCACCGCCTCTGGTACTGCACTGAGCACTGCGGAAGATAGTTGCATGCAGATGACTATATATGGTCAGGTGACCTCAATAATATGCATAACTGTGATATCTTAAGTACTGTTCAGATAGGACCATGCATCTCCGCATCTCCTTGTTCTAGATGCCAGGAACGCAGAGTATGGTGACATCGAGGATCGCAAGCAGCTCAGGGAGAAATTACAATGCAATAGTTTCAGATGGTATTTAGAGAACATTTTTCCCGATTCTCAGTTTCTGCTGGACAATTATTTTAGGTTTTGTGAGGTAGGTGTATGCCTTGTTTGTTTATTAGTAGAGTTTGGATCGAGTTCAAGTTTAGCTACTACTGAGCATGTCACTGCGCATACCAACATTGAATTGTGGGAGGAAAATGTAACTTTGACGTCATGTTGTTGCGCATATGTAAAACGCATTATGGGAGAGAAACTCGAGTTTTGTATTTGCTGGACATGTCTTCAGAAACATTTCAATTGAATGTAATGGAAAAATAGTACCACATTGGAAACACATTTTTGAATATTTGCAACGATATTATTATTCATATCAATAACAACATATGACAATAAATATTCAGTCTATTGATAAAATTTATAGATGTTATAGTATAAATAAAGTTATTTTATTTTTTACTATGTCAATTTTATGGTTCCATATAATTAAGAATATACAATAAATGTATTAAGTCGGACGGAATCCCCCAAGTGTTTTAAACAGTTCCTAGTCAGGGTGTGAAGCTGAAATTTCTAAATCAGAGGTAAATCTTCAATTTTTTTGCTATGTTTCAATAATTTGTTCTATTTCAGGTCCGTAATATGGAAACTAAGCAATGTTTGGACAATATGGGACAAAAGGAGAAGAGCAAAGCTGCTTTATCTAGGTGTCACGGGCAAGGTGGACATCAGGTGATATAACATCATAGCCTTACTGAAAATGAGACACGACTACAGTGCAATTTTAAATTATCAAATATCTCAACATCAGTATTAGAAAATGATGATGTGTTCGTTTCCTTTTTCAGATTTATGCTTGGTCCAAGTTGAATGAGTTAAAACACGACGACTTGTGTCTAGATGCTTCTGCGCCGAGTGGTTTCAAAGACGTCGAGCAGTCGCGATGTAACTCTCATGGTGGAACTCAAGAATGGAGATACAATGAAGAGGTATTTCAAGTTCCGTCAACTGATTAGCCTGACAAGTAGGCGTGAGCGGCGCCCTCGTCGGCTGAACGGCATCAGACCTTACTCACTAATGTGTTGGGTTTGGAGCACCACGGAGGGCGCAACTCACGCGACCTTGTCGGGCTATCAACTGATCTGTGTAGACTCTTTGTCATATCTAATTTACATAAACAAAAGTTGTTTCCAGAAGTAACCGTATACTATAGACTGTCGCAATACTGTGACGTCATATGTTTACATTTTTGCCAACCAGCAAGCGACTATCTGATAACAAATGCCTCTCACTAATCAGCACTAGATCACAAGCTTTGTGACAAGACTGTCCAACACATATGTGTATATTTAAAGCGGGAGGGTCGTCGCCTGCGCACGCGCTGTAATTGAGTCCCAAACGACGATAGCAACACACGCTGAAAACGCAAAGGGTCATGGGTAGACGCTTGTTTGTAAACAATGACACGCTCTAGCCACCGCTTTAAAAACAAAGAAATTGTTCCAGGCGATTTCGTGACATACAGCTTCTAGGTTCCATGAACGGGTTACAAAACAACACAAAGGCTCATGGGTAGAAGCTTGTTTGTAAACAGTGACACGCTATTGCCATCTGTCGCATGCGCAGGTGACGACCCCCCCCCCACTTTAAATACATCAGTATTGAACAAACGACCTGTTCTTGCCAACCAGTCACTGCGAACGAACACAAAACGTAGTACGACGACCTATACTATAGCAGCGAATATTTGAGGCAGTGTGTGAAAGGTTCACCCTGTAAATAACAATGTATCCTTTCGCGTTTGTAAAGTCTGGGCGAATATAATATGTACCCTATTTTTAGTGGATCAATTTCTGGTCAAACCAACGTAATTAGACGAACAACTAAATACGATATTTAAGAACGAACGTTAAA